GAAGGAGCAAAGGCCCCTCCCTCCCCCTCCTCGAAAATCGTTCTTTTTCCTTTTGTTTTTTCTAGGGGGTAGGGTCGGGGTTCCAGAACCCCCATCTGCAACCCCCACCCCCAAACCCCTCCCCCTCTGGCCACTACGCGGCCGCAAAAATCACCGTGGCCACGGTCATGACTGCGACGTCACGGCCATGACTGCAAGCCGCGGTCGTGACTGCGGCGACTGCGGCTGGGGTAGATTCATAGCGGATTGCCGCGTCGAACACGCCGGCTCTCTCTCTCTCTCTCTCTCTCTCTCTCTCTCTCTCTCTCTCTCTCTCTCTCTCTCTCTCTCCATGAATTGGGAAATGAAAATGAATCTTCCGCAACATGGTGGAAAGATTGATTCTCGTTTTGCACATTGGTGCAAAACCCAGCTGCGTGCACAAGTGCTCTCTCTCTCTCTCTCTCTCTCTCTCGCGCGCGCGCGCGCGCTCTTTCTTTCTTTCTTTCCTGCCCAGCCGTGCCCATTTTCCCCTTTCATTTTATTTTCGTCTTTACATTTTCCACATTCGATTTTTTACTTTTGTTTTATTTTATTTTATTGTCATTACCGGTCATCGGTTCCCTGACTCCCGAGGTGCCGGTGGTTTAATCTTGTCAATGCCATATGAGCATGCTGCATGTTTCTGATAGAGCAGGAATCAAATTTTGCCAAGCTTGCTAACGTCACCCGAAGGCAACATGTGTACTTGCTGGTGAACGTGCGACTAAGAAAAAACAGACCGAGGAAAAGCCAAGACCGGCACGGAAAGATAAATGGCTGCAGGTCAAACTTGTAAGCCCTCGACTGGGTACAAGCTGGCATCCGCAGTCAATGCGCTATTTGTGTTCTTTGTTCTCTTGTGGTAAGAGAACCACCGGAATTGAGGCTTTGCCTGTCGGGCTGCTCCATCTATTGGTGGGGAGCGACACCTGCTGGAAACCGGGTCCAGCGTCCCTTGGATACATCGTCATGGTTCAATGTTTTTCGGTCTATGGCCATTTCTATGGGGCTGCAAAAAAAAAAAAAAAAAAAAAAAAAAAAGATACCCTTCCAACTTCTAGAGCTCCTGCTTCTTACTGGTCCAGACCCCACCTGGAAAGTTGCCAACTATGTCTTCCTATCCTCTCTCCTCCGGTGGCTTGTTAGTCTAAACCCTATTCCAGGTATTTGCAACCCTCCCTGACAATAAAGGCTGTACCATTTTTGTGGGGCTTGAGACAACCATGGCCGCTTGCAGTGTGTACTTTTGAAGAAGACGTATAGATGTGCGCCGACAGGTTCGTGTGAGATGTGCTTTTTGGGAAGGATGGCGTCTTTTCTCTGCCGGCCCCTGTTCCGGCGGGGAGTGTATCGCTAGACCTTCCTGCCTTTGTTTGTGGGGTTTTTTTTTTTTTTTTAAATTGCTCCAATCTATTCGTGGGAAGCAGCACGTGCTGGGAACCGGCCCAGCAAAAGCATTGTAGCCTTTGTTTGTGTTCTCAATGCAAGGGAAATAGGGAAAGAAAGGAGGACATAGTTTTGTGCTGCTTCAATAAAATATGATCTGTCGCATGGTGCGAACATTGCAGGCTGAGGATGAGTGTGGAGATGTGATCCCACCTTTCCCACCAATTCACACTCGTTATCCAAACACCAATGAAGGAACTTGATATCTTCTCGAAGCGCATCCTGCAACATCCGAGAACCACAAAAGAATCTTTGCATCGTTAGCGGACCCATGTCTGTGTGTGAGTGTTTTGGACTTTCACCACAACAGCCCCTAATCCACCCAGATGGGTAGAACGAAAATCAAAGCAGCGTTAGTCCTATTGCAGACAACGAAGCACACTTGACTTGAGACATTCCAACAATGAAACAGTTTTATCTCTATAGCAAGTAAATAACATGGAGCACAACAAATCCGCTTTCTTTGGGGTACTCCTTTCATTTGTTCTTGCAGCTCCCCTTTTAATATGCCTCTCAGGTACAAGGCTGGCCATTTTGATTGTGGTTGAACGCAAGGTGCCCACACCCACGTTTGCCTTGACGGCACACTTGGACGTCAAAGTAGGCAGAGTAAAGGGGGAGGTATACTCCCGTTCATTTTTCTTCAGATCTTCAGCTTGTGTTTTGTCTGTTGCTTTAATGATGCTTATTCCTATACATTTACTAGTAGTACACAAAGGGGAGGGAGGAAGGGAAGGGGTAGGAGGTGGAGTTCTATAGGGAGTGAGGGGCAGGGGAGGGAGAAGGGGATAGGGGAGAAAGTTAGCAACAAAGGACAGAACAGAGATATGACGAACTTTACTGGGTTCAAAATACTCACCGCTGGAGCACTCTACTATAGAATGGCACAAGGGGCCGGTCACTGTTTGGGTTGCAGAAGATTTGGAGTCGAGGAGCAGCTGTTGCCTATGGTAAGTGGCCACCCCTACAAACTGGACAGGACCGGTTCGGGTGTGGACTGCAGAAACACCGCATCCAATACTGCATTGAATTGCACGTCATAGACAGATATCACAAGCTACATAGCTCCTACATGCTAGGAACACAGAGGCACACCGACCGCAATTGTAGAGGCATTGCTGTTCCAGCCCGTCTACAAATTGGACATGATATGTCACGGTGCTGTACACGAGTGCAGTATTGACTGTCATCATACGTATGAAGACAAAAAATCTCATGGGCTATCCCTTGATAATCCTCAGCACAAGGCATGTGAACCACATGCTAGCAGAATCTCAGGTGGGTCATTACGGAAGCGGGGGAAAGGGGAGGGGCCGGGGACTGGCAGCCGGTACCCAGCAGGGGTTTAAACAGGAGGAAGGTGGACGGGGGGAAGAAGGGCCCCCTGGGGCTTAGCCGAAACGGGCCAGCAAGATCTGAGGCAACCCAGGGCGGCCCAAGAAAGGTCGCTTCCCGCAAACCCGCAGAAGGAACAGGGAGCTCCTGTGAACCAGCAGGGGACAGAGAGCACAGTACAGGCGGGTACAGCGGGGCAGAGAGGGACGGGGCAGCAAGGAGAGGTGTCTGGGCAAGGGAAACGGTCCGGCAGGGGGCACAGCCCCCTGTTACCCCCGCTGCTGGACGTGATCGTGTTCCCCTCTGCCCCTGAGGTTGTAATGACAGACAAACGGGCGGACCCCGATGCCCCACCTGAGGAAATGGATCTAGACGGGAAAATGAGGGGGATTGCGGACTGGCTGATTGACCATTCAAAACGGCAGCACCCGCATGGCTCGGATGAATATTGGGACCAGACATACATCCAGCTGCACACAATGTTGGATAGTAGCCCCACACTGAGGGGGGCGCTGGCTGAGGGCCCCCCGGAACATACCACGTGGGCTGAAGTATTCCAACACATCCTTTCTATTATACGGGCCAGGTTCAGTCCGGCGGAACCTGCGCCAACCACCCAACAGCCCGTGCCTCAGCCAGGCGCGTCTTGTAACCAACCTCCCATAAAAGGCCAGCAGGTCAAATCAACCTCCGGCCCTTCGGATCATGGCTCACAAGGGGGGTGGACCCGGGACGAAGAAGGGGAGACAGGGGAGGCAGGGGACAACAGTCCGATCTCACTCAGGATGAAAGTGAGACGGCTAGTCGAACGGGGGCTGTATGAGCAGCCTCTGTCAAAGGCCGGGGGGGTGCCGCTGATCCCGCTGTGGAAGGCGGATGGGAGGTGGGAAGTAGGACTGTCCCCGGTAGGGGATGACGAGAGAAAACGGTGGGTCTCCCTGCACAGTTGGGATTTCTCGGCACATTGGGAGGATCCGGTTCAGACGGAAACTGCCTTCACACGGCAAGTAGCAGATTTTATCCCCAAAAACTTTGCTGCAGGCCAACGGGCGGTCAAAAGGTTTGAAGGGAACACACTTCAAATTGTGGACTCATACCTCTATATCCTCTTTGAAAAAACTGCTGCGCTGCGCCGGTTTGGCCATAGCACACTACTAGACGTGCAGGGCATAAAGATTAAAGCAGGACCCTGTTGGCCAGAGGAGGACATTCTTAAGTGCCTGTGCACCATTGCCTGCCTAAATGTCCTTCATCTGGATAAGTGGGATCTCTGCACATGGCAGCCACTGTAGCCAGCGATGCCAAACCCTCGGCCTGACCACAAGCCCACTGTTCTGAACCCATTGATACAAATGGAGAGTGTTGACACTTTCTACTGCAGAAACCCGACTCGAAGGCATTGTGTGAAGGCGACTGATCTGGACTTGGGGTCTCTTAATGTAAACGGTCTGGCAACCCCCAACCCTGAAAAGCGTCAGGCAATCTGGGACCAGATGAAGTGCGTGGGAGGGAGGGTATGGCCATATGTGATATGTGTACAAGAGACTCACCTGCAAGACAAGCCAGAACACCATAGGACTCACAGGATGGTGTGGCCGTACACCACATTCAGGGCTCACGCACCCGCCCCCAGGACAGCAGGGGTGGCCATTTGGCTCCCCCCGCAGTTACGGCTGCAGATGGTGCACTTGGCAGCGGACGAGCAGGAGGGGCGTTGGGTATCAGTGCTAGGAATGTTGGAGCTGGAACTGATATGTATCCTATGTATCTATGCCCCGAACTCGGTTAGGGAGCGGAGGGCCTTCCTCGGGGGTCTAGGGGCAAGGATCCCTGACGGGACTTTGCTGATCATAGCCGGGGGCTTTCATGCAGCCCCGGACAGGTGGGTAGACCGCTTGACCCCACTATCGTCTCCATCCCACGTGGCCGAGGAAGATGAACAAATGATGGGAAACTATGTAGCTCACTGTCGCTATTCGACACCTGTCGTAACCTCCATCCAAATGACCGCACCTTTTCATGCATGCGTGACAACCACCCTGTGAGACAATCTAAATCACGCGTTGACATCATTCTCCTTCATAATGACTTGGAAAGAGCCCTCCAATTGGCAACCATCCTACCACGCAGTCCCCACCCCGGGCTTGATCATAAGACATGCGGGGCGGTCCTTACGATGCGGAAGCGGCCTGACCCGGGGCCAAACTTCTACAAGCTAAACAAATCTCTACTCCCTGACAAATGTTTCCAATCCTTGATCAAGGTGGAGTGGTCCTTCTAGCAGCAACAAAAGCCCCTCTTTGATTCCCCCACCCTAGCCCATCGAGTGCTCTACCTCTTGCAATGAAGATCACACGTTCTACCTCAATAGATTTCGCGAAAAAGCAACTATCTCTGAGTTTGATGGGCCTTTCCAATCATCTCTAGTTTTCACTAGAGGTTAGACTATACCTTTATCTTACCTCGTAGGCCGAAGGCGGCGTCATACGTCTACGTTTTCCATCTTCATATGCTAGATCCAATACGACTAGGAGTCATTCGAGCTGCTCGCCTTAGGAACTAACTAGATCCTCAATTGAATGAAATTGGGTGAGTACTGGCGTATTAGCATGAAATCAATCATGCTCTCCTCTTTCGAGTAAGTTGTTACGGCGTAATGGCTTACTTTACCTTGCGAAGACGCGACATAGAGAAACCACCGCAAGAAAGAGTTTCACAACGAACTCCAGAACCTGGAACAACAGGTAGAATCGCAGGCCAACGCACAAAACCTATGGAATAACATCCAACAGCTTAAGCAACAACTACTACAGTGTGCTCAGCACAGATAGCAGGGCTTTGAGTGCGCAACAAACTTTCTAAGCTCAACAACGAAGCTACCATGGACACACGCTTTTTCAGTATGGCAACAACACCGATCGTGCGCATTGTGATGGAAACCCTTTTTGACATAGAGGAAGGAGGGGATAGTTTAGCCATTTGAACAACACACTGCACAAGGGTCACTAGATCCTTCTTCAAAAGTCTTTACACGTCTCATATTGGGAATCCGCAGAATGATGCCAGGTTGAGAGACCTGAACGCTTTCCTCAGACCAATGTCAAAAACGTTGTTGAGGCAACAAAAAGAAAGTCCGGACGCCCTGCTCACCAAGGATGAAATATGGATGGCGTTGCTCCAGATGGAGGAAGGAAAGACTCCTGGCATTGACGGCTTCCCAAAGGATTTTTGGGAAACCTTGTGGCCCATCCTGAGCGAGGACCTGTGGAATTACTATTATAAGGTATCGGAGGAAGGAGAGATGGCGGGAATGGTGGGTCAAGGGGTTCTGACACTCTTATACGAAAAAGGAGACAAGATGAACATCAGAGAACTACAGGCCCATTACCCTTTTGACGGTAGTCTATAAGATGCTTGCAAAAGCCTTGCCGAACCAAATGGTCAAGGTCTTCGAAGACGTTATACATCCGGCTCAAACCGGCTTCTTGCGCAATAGAAACATCCAAGAGAACATTTTGCTGGTAAATGAGATGGTTAGCCTGGCTAGGCGACAACAACGAAATGCAGCCATCATCTTCATTGATTTCGAGAAAGCCTATGACCATGTCGATTGGCAGTTCTTGGACAAGTGCATGGAAAAAATGAAGGGCTTTTGCAGATGGATAAGCATCATGCATAAAAATGCCACCACCTGCGTCCAAGTCAATGGCATGGTGCCCCTCCCTTCTCGCTTTAGCGGTCGGTCTGGCAAGGGATGTCCATCGCCCCTTATAATGGAGGCCCTATCGGCCAACCTGCGATGCAACAAAGACATAAAACGGGTTGAAGTGGCAGGTATCCCAGAGGAGGCGATCTGCTCCCTTTTCGCGGACGGTGGATGCATGTGT